TTAAAATTTGTGGTATTGGCAAATAAACATAGAAAGTCCAAAATTAGACCTAAATACATAAGGAAAGGGTATATAAGGTATGATACATACATAAGGAAGGAAAATACATACAGAAGGTGGCATCTCAAATTAATGGGATAAAGATGGACTTTTGTTTTGAGACAGAGCCTCAAGCTGTCCCCCTGGGTAGAATGCCATGGCAGCATCACAGCTCACAGCAACCTCCAACCCCTGGGCTCAAGCAATTCTCCTGCCTCCGCCTCCCTAGTAGCTGGGACTACAGACGCCCACCACAGTGCCTGGCTATTTTTTGGTTACAGCCGTTATTGTTGTTTGGCGGGTCCAGGCTGGATTTGAACCCGCCAGCTCAGGTGTATGTGGCTGACGCCTTAGCTACTTGAGCCACAGGCACCGAGCCAAAGATAGACTTTTTAATAAATGGTATTGGGACAACTAGAAAGCCGTTTGAAAAAACATAAAATTAGATTCCTATGTAAGAATAAACTGCTAAAAGATCAGAGATCTAAAAGTCAAAGATGAAATCATGCTTGTAAAAGTAAAAGCTGAAACCATGCTAGTATGAGAAAACATAAATTCCTCCCTAATCCTGGGGAAGGATTTCTAAATATAACTCAAAGTCCATAGGCAATAAAAGATTGATCAATTTATTATTTTTATAAAGTCAAATTTTTCATAGAAACACCACAAAAAAAGTCAAAAGACAACTGACAACCTGGGAGAAGATATTGGTAGCACACCCACTTTATGGCCAATATCCTTAATGTAAAGACAACTCTGAAAAGCCGAGGTGTGAAGACCAACAACCCAATAAATGGGAGAAAGACGTGAACAGAAATACACTCACATAAAAGAGACTAACATGGTCCATGTTCAAATTCATAGAGAAAGGCAAATTAAAACACTGAGATGCAACTAACATATCAGACTGGCAAAAATAAACAAACATGACAATATATTCTGGTGGCAAGGATATGGGAAAGCAAATTCTGTCTTCTCATACATTGCTGGAGCAGATGCGAATTAATACAAGTCCTCTGGTGGCAAATTTGGCAATACCTTGTAAAACTACACATGAACTTAGGAACTTAGGAATCCCACTTTTAGGAATCTCCCCTGAACATAAATCTCTTACAATACTAAAATATATATGCATAAGATCATTCATTGATGGCTGCAAAATACTGGAAACAACCCAAATGCCTATTTATGGTTTAGTGTAAACTATGCTATGTGTATAGCATGGAGTACTATGTAACTATAAATAAGAATGATGGCCAGGCACAGTGGCTCATGCTTGTATTCCCAGCACTCTGGGAGGCCAAGGCAGGTGGATTTCTTGAGTTCACGAGTTCAAGGCCAGCCTAAGCAAGACTGAGACCCACATCTCTAAAACAAAAAACCTTGCCAGCCACTGTGGCAGCTGCCTGTAGTCCCAGCCAGTCAGGAGGCTGAGGCAAGAGGATCTTTTGAGTCCAGGAGTTTGAGATTGCTAGGAGCTATGATGCCCCTGCACTCTACCCAGGGTGAAAAAGTGAGACTCTGTTTCAAAAATACATACATACATACATACATACATAATGATGGGCAGGCACAATGATTCACTCCTGTAACCCTAGCACTCTGGAAGGCCAAGGCAGGTGGATTGCTTGAGCTCAGGAGTTTTGAGACCTACCTGAGCAAGAGTTATACCTTGTTTCTACTAAAAATAGAAAAATTTGCAGGGCGTCAACAGTGCACCTAGAGTCCCAGTTACTCAGGAGGCTGAGGCAGGTGATTGTGTGAGCCAAGGACATTGAGGTCACAGTAAGCTATGATGACACCACTGCACTCTACCCAGAGCAACAGACCTTTTCTTAAGATTTGATCTTTAAAAAAAAAAAAAGTGATGATAGTTTCTATGAATGGGTCACTCTACCAAGTGATTTCCAGGTAATACTATTAAGTATAAAAAGCAAAACTGCTAATTTGTGCAAAAGAAATATAGGAAGGATTAAACCAGGCACTAGAGGGATTGGTTATCTATATGAGAGTGGTGGGAGGGGTGGGGGACAGGAATGGGATACCCCATGAGAAGAGAGTGACATTTCTTTGAGAATTTTTCCATATAGCTCTTAGAAACACAGTAATGTTGCAGATACCACCCTTCTATCCCTCAACAGAAATAATTACAGCCAACTAGGATTGGGGGAGGTTGCCCACAATGGAATAAAAACATAAACAGATGAACCGAACTGCATTACAGCTGAGTAAGATAATCACACTGAAAGGGACTGTGAACTAAAGTTAACTGTGGAAAACACTGTCTTCACTAGGTGATGTAAGACAAAAGGCAACCACAAAAAATGACACAAATGCTCTAAGCTAGTCAGTAAATGTGTGTTCCTCCACAGGTATGGGCAAATTCTGAAGCCACTTCACGC